TTTTTTTTTTTTTTTTACTAACTATGATTACTGAAAACAAATACACAGATTCCTTTACTGTTCATTTTGTCTTTAGGCTACACTTCACTAGAGATGTGGTATCAAATTATCATATTTAGAGGCACAGGAAATAGACCCTTCTTGTGGGGCTCAATAACCAACTTGTATGTTCCATTTTGCTCCTTTGTAGGAATTGCTTGGTTTTCCCCATTTTTTATTTAATTTTGTTTTGTAACTATGTGATTATATGTACTTATTCTAAAGTTGAAACTGTAAAAACTGCTACAGTTGGAGAAGTCTAGTTTTCATTTCTAGCCTCTCCACCCTATCTCTGCCCTCCAAGGTAAACGTTTTTGTTGGTTTTCAGTTTATCTATTTTTCTTATCTCTCTCTTCCTCCTTGCTTTTCTTCTTTCCTTAATTAAAAAAAATAAGCACATTGCTATGTGTGTATATTTATTTATATTCATGTTCCCTTGACATTTTTGGATGAAATATTGCATACCACATACACTATTCTTCACCTTACCTTTTTTTTTTTTTCTTTGTGCTTAGCAATATTCTGGGAGGTCACTCCCAGAGTATATTGAAGTATATCTTATATACACAAGAATATATATTCCTTTTAACAGTTCCATAAAACTCCATTGTATGAATATACCATAGTTTGTTCAACTATTCACCAACTGATGGGTATTGAGTTGTTTATGGTCTTGCTATTACAAATGGTATTGTATTGAAGAGACATGTGTATATATAATTTTCTATTTCTGTCAAAGTATTATTGGCATAGATCCCAATCCTTAGAAGTAGGATTGCTGGATTAAACAGTAAATACATTTTTAAATGTTCTAGATAGTGCCAAATTCTCCTCCACAGAGGCCTTCCCAGCAGAAGTGCTTGAAAGTGCCTCATTCCTTCCAGCCTCAGTAACAGAGTACATTATTATACTTGCATTTTACCACCTTTATACAAAAGAAAACAGTCTCTATGATTAACAAATTTTTTAATGTTTATTTATTTTTGAGAGAGAGAGAGTGTGTGCAAGCGCGCAGGGGAGGGGCAGAGAAAGAGGGAGACACAGAATCTGAAGCAGGCTCTAGGCTCTGAGTTGTCAGCACAGAGCCTGACGTAGGGCTTGAACCCACAGACTGTGAGATCATGACCTGAGCTGAAGTTGCATCAGCTTTCCCTCTGGTTCTTTTATGATTTCATTTTTATATTATCTCTGATCCATTTGGATATTTTGTAGTGTATGGTGAAAGGACTAGATCCAATCTTAATCTTTTTTCATGTAGTTATTCAGTTATCCCAACTCTACTTTTTTTTTTTTAGGTTTCTTTATTTTGAGAGAGAGAAAAAAAGGCAGGGAGAGGGGGAGAGAGAATCCGAAGCAGGTTACTTGCTGTCAGTGCAGAGCCTGATGCAGGGCTGAATCCCACAAACTGAGATCATGACCTGAGCTGAAATCAGGAGTTGGATGCTTAACGAACTGAGCCACCCAGGTGCCCCTAAAGATTTTTTTTTAATGTTTTAACGTTTATTCATTAAAAAAATTTTTTTAATGTTTATTTTTGATTGAGAGAGATAGTGCACGAGCAGGGAAGGGGCAGAGAGAGAAGGAGACACAGAATCTAAAGCAGGCTCCAGGCTCTGAGCTGTCAGCACAGAGCCTGACGTGGGGCTTGAACCCACAGACTGTGAGATCATGACCTGAGCTGAAGTTGGATGCTTAACCAGTTGAGCCATCCAGGCACCCCATAAAGTTTATTCATTTTTGATAGAGACAGAGTGTGAGCGGGGGAGGGGCAGAGAGAGACAGGGAGAGACAGATCTGAAGCAGGCTCCAGACTCTGAGCTGTCAGCACAAAGCCTGACTCGGGGCCCGATACCATGAACACAGAGATCATGACTTGATCTGAAGTCAGATGCTTAATCGACTGAGCCACCCAGGCACCCCCTAAAGATTTTATTTTTAAGTAATCTCTACACTCAGTGTGGGGGGTCAAACTCACAATCCTGAGATCAAGAGTCACACATTCCACTGACTGACCCAGCCAGGTGCCCCCAAAATACCTGTTTCTGACACATAGGTAATGGGAATTTTCACCAATTGAATGGGAATATAGTTGCTGAAATGTCTTCATCCATATATAACAGTCACCAGTAAAGTCATCTTTGGGGGAAAGTTATACTTAACCTTTTAAATTAATATTCCTCTCTTTTCAATAGGGCTAACCATAAGAAATGAATTTTAATGTCTGGAATATCAAAGAGATGCTCAGTATTCCCTCAGGTTCTGGGTAAGTTATATACTCTGATATTTAATGAAGGTCTTATAGTTGTATTGATTTCATTGAAAAAGGCTACCTTTCCTATTAGTTTATTAGTAATAGGGTGACTTCATACAGCTTTTTTCCCTTCTTTTCCCTTCACTGCTACACTCTCCCATATTTGTCTTTTTCCTTTTGCCTATTTTCTTTTCTTTTCTTTTTTTTAAAGTAGGCTTCACACCCATCATGGAGCCCAGTGCAGGGCTTGAACTCACAACCCGGAGATCAAGACCTGAGCTGAGATCCAGAGTCGGATGCTTAACCGACTGAGCCACCTAGGCGCCCCTCCGCCTATGTTCTGATGATAAAAGCAATGTCAATTTAGCTATTTGTGTTAATTGAGCAGTGGCTCTGTGTCCAGAACTAGGCCTCTGGAGTATGAGGCCTGTGAGAATTAGAAATGGCCTAAGAATCTAGAAACTGACCTCAGTTGGAGTGATTTCTATTGAAACAGCAAGGATCAAATCAAGACAATGTTTAGATACGTATTCATTTGTGTGGTACCATTTGTAGGTACTGTGGAGTTAAGAGCTACTCCAGCTGTTGACAAGGCTCACTGAAATACTGCCCCTTCTACTACTCCACTGAGGTACTTATATTGGTGTCCATCAGCCATGCAGTGGACTTGCCATTGCTAACTTGGTGGATGTGCCCCAGAATTAGTATATATTTAAGGGATTTTTAATTGCTTTTGGTATGCTTTTATTATTAGTTTCTTTTCTTTCTAATACCTTCCTGAAGACAGTTATTAATTCAGCAAAAACCTAGAGCATTGTGCTTTTTATTTCTTAAAAAGAAAAAAAATGCTTTCAGTTGATACAGAGAAAATCTTTGTTAAATTCCAGATCCTGGCTTTAAGATGTAAATCCTACGTGGTTTCTGGAAGCTCACAGTTTTTTTTTTTTATCCAGCACAGCTAATTATTCTCTTTAACCTAAGAGGGGAGTCATAGAGAGCTATTTAAGCTATTTTGAGCAACGATTATGCAACCCATATTATAATATATGTGTGCAGCCCATTACCTTAGCTAATCTTAGAAAATGGTTCTATGAGTGAAAATAATTGCTCTTTCCTGTGCTGAATTATTAGAGTTTCTTTTTGTCTTGCATTAGTATATGTTGGCTTGGATTATGTACTTATATGCTATGTAATTACTTTAATTTAGCTTTATTAAAAGGAATGATTTGTGTTTGTGCATTTTAATAAAAAGCATGTTTTTTTAGGTTACACAACAGCATTAAGTAACCCAAGTTGTTATTGAGATGTTTCTTTTTTTTTAATGTTTATTTATTTACTTTGACAAGGAGAGAGAGCTCATGCAAATGTGCACAAGCAGGGTAGGGACAGAGAGAGAGAGGGAGAGAGAGAATCCCAAGCAGGCTCTGGGCTGCCAGCACAGAACCGGACTTGGGGCATGATTCTACAAACTGTGGGATTATGATCTGAGCCAAGATCATGAGTTGGCCATTCAATTGACTGAGCCACCCAGGTACCCCCATATGTGAGGTTTAAATGTATATATCTATGGGAAGCAAGTTGGAAGTCCACAGCTGGAAGTACTTAGAGCAAGCAAGAATAAGACACTAAAGGTGTGAAAGGGAATACCACCTTGTTTCAAAAACAATTTTTAAAAAATTTTTTTTCAACGTTTTTTATTTATTTTTGGGACAGAGAGAGACAGAGCATGAACGGGGGAGGGGCAGAGAGAGAGGGAGACACAGAATCGGAAACAGGCTCCAGGCTCCGAGCCATCAGCCCAGAGCCTGACGCGGGGCTCGAACTCAGGGACCGCGAGATCG